CAGCTGAGCAGCTTGAATTAGAAAGCAATGGATTTCTTGCTTCTACTACAAATTCCTCTAGCTTTAAGCCTTCCAACCTTCTATATATTCTTTTATATGGTTCAGAGTTCTGGCATCATCCCCTGAGCTTGTTTGGTCTGGTATTCTGTGTTGTTGCTGACAGAGCTCCTCACTGCACTTCTTCTACCCAATCCACCATCTTGTTTGGTCTCCACCAAGCTACAAATTTTAAGTTAAAAAAATTACAATGAATGTAATGATTACTTTATCTAGGAGATTGATGCTATGAATTATAACATGCCCTTCAGTGAGTTAGTTCCAACTCATAGTGACCCTAGGCATAACAGAACAAAACACTGCCAGGTCCTGCACCATCCTCGTGATTGTTATGTTTGAGGGAATTGTTGCTGCCACTGTGTTCATCCATCTGGTTGAAAATCTTCCCCTTTTTCACTGACCTTCCGCTTTTCCAAGCATGATGTCCTTTTCTAGAGATTAGTCCTTCCTGACAACTTATCCAAAATATGAGAGATGAAGTCTTGCCATCCTTGCTTCTGGCTGTACATCTTCCAAGACAAATATATTTGTTCTTCTGGCAGTATATGATACTTTCAATATTGTTTACCAAAACCCTAATTCACATGTGTGAATTCTTCTATATTTCATTGTCCAGCTTTCACATGTATAACTAGGGTGCTATTACTTGACCTGGTGGATTGGTTCATGAAAGTTTACTTTGAAGAATTCATTAGGCTCTATGCTTGAGATATATCACAATAGGAGAGCTTTTATCATGAAAACAAGATATGCGTTAAGACTAATAATATTATTACCAACTTGTGTTATTTTCCTTTTCAACATTTTAAATCTCAGTTAATATAATTTGCAATAATCTGTTAATATGCAATGATAAATGTATATATATATTTGTTTTAAATTAGGACTGGATACCTTGCTCTTTCTTCTCATTCCAATAGTAGATTCTTGTTTTTATTCTTAAGCGCCGTTGAATAGGTTCTGACTCATAGCAACTCTGAGTAGGGTTTCCAAAGAGTGAATGGTGAATTTGAACCACCAACCTTTCAGTTAGCAGTCCACAGTTTATCCTACAGTGTCACAGCAGAATCAAGAACATACAGCCTGACTTTGAAGATATATATATATATATATATGGAGCTCTGGTAGCGTAGTGGGTACGAATTGGCCTGCAACCACAAGGGCAGCAGTTTGAAACTAGCAGCTGTTCCACGGGAGAAAGATGAGGCTTTCTGCTCCCGTAAAGATTTACAGAGTTGGAAACCCTGTACAGGGTCGCTATGAGTTGGAACTGACTCCACGGCACACAACAACAACAACAACAAATATATATATATATAATTTTGTTTTTCACATGGCATGGAGATTACATAATCATGTGAATCAAGAGGCAGCCTTATCCTGTTCTCCTCCCAAGCAAACACACTATATTGCATGCAAATGTACGCCACCAGGAGGAAAATCCTCTGAATCCATAGTGTCAGCACTGTGTTTAATAATAGCATCTTGTAGTAATATTCAAATTTTAGTTTTTTACATTGGACATGTGAGGTGACAGTTTTCCTGTGCCTAAAAATGAGTATCCTCAACAATTGCTATGATCTCTAGAAAATGACTAGAATCATCTTTCTACTAAAATGATTAACTATAATATATATACCAAAGAGTGTCAACTTCTGGAATTTATCTCCTTTTGTATTAATCACATTAATTCATTATATATGTTTTAATGATATAAGATTATTCACTTGTCCTATCTTTCATTTTGTAGGGAGTATCATTAAGCAGGAAAATCAAAGGGTGGTTAACTACTACATTCCTAGCAAGGACAATAGCTGGGCAAAGGTGACTATAGAAACCCCATACCGTTTTAACATTACATGTTAAAAAAATAAATAGCCTAATATTACATGTTAAAAGAGCAGTAATGATGAGAAGTATTTAAAATTCAAGCATTTGGAATGGGAGCCTGGCAGTGTGGGAAGGAGTCTTTATAGAATACTTTACAAAAGCCCTGGAAGTGTTTAATAGGCTAGGGACATGAGGACAGACAGTTGCCTTATCTCTGTTTCTTGATTATCTATTCTACAAAAATATGAAGCATTTCCTACACACATAGACACACACACACACACACCATTTCTCCCACAGCACTTTCTCTACTTCTCTACGGTTCAATAATCCCTTGCAATGACCACTAAAAACTCAGATGCAAATTCAGCTATGGGGCTTGTTAGGGAAGTTAACAGGTTACAGTTCAAGGGCAGAAATGCTCAGGGCACAATTGTTCCAGTCAGCTGCTGATAAGTGCACCTAGGACACATCACTCCACCATAAGCCACAACCTGCAGGCACTCAGCTCTATCTCCTTGGGCCATTCAACCTACTTATGTGCCTGGAGACTTCCCACTCTACAAGCAAGTTTCCTGCCCAAAGTCACTCAGCTTTACTTTAACCTTGGGCTGGGACATCCACTGCTTTGTCTCATGCTCTGGTTCTTGGTTCTGTTGCTGCTGCTCCTCTGCCGTTCTTCTGGTGTCCCTGCACAGGGATCTCAGGGTCCAAAGGACATGCTCCACTCCTAGCTCTTTCTTCTTGATAGGAGTGAGATTCCCTGCTACTCCTGTTTCTGAGATGGCTCATTTTTCTCTCATGCAACAGTTTCAAACTTTTACAATTACAATGACCTCTGCCAACATCCACAGCTGACTCATGTCATCCTATCAGTATCTTCTCCCACCTTCTCTTACTCAGACCCAGCAGGGCAGAAACACTGTTTCGTGGAGTTACAGACTATGGCTAGAAGAGACATTAGGTGATTCACGATACCACATATTCCTTCTATGGTCTCACCTTCACTTGTGTGCCTTTTGTCCTCTAATGTAAATTTGGCTGGAGGTGGGAAAATGCCCTGGGGAGAGGGTCTTCTTGGTTGGGGGTTGTGAGGGATTGCAATGGTAACTGCATTTTTGGTTATTGTTAAAGGTGTTTGGTTATTTGGAAACAGCAAAAGAGAAATTCGGTTTAGAAGACTATTCCATCAGCCAGATAACATTGGAACAAGTCTTCCTGACCTTTGCTAACCCAGATAACACGGATGTTAATATATAAAAGACATACCATGAAAGTCAGTTACAACCAGTCTTTCTTTGACTACTCCCTGTAGCATCTGGATGCACAGAAGGACATTTTTGTTTGTGTAATCTTGTTGTAAATATATTTATATAATAAAGAGTTTCCCAGTAGAGAATGTTTGTTACCTTCTTTCTAGATTTAGTTGAGTGGCCTTGTACATCAGCAGGTATAATAATGA